GTTTACGGCCACTTGCCCTGGCTGAATAGGGCGGGGCCAAGCTAGAAATTGGCAAACTTTGCTGGATTTCTCCAAAATTAAAGCTGATAACAACTGGGACCCTGCAAGTCCTTAGAGCCACAAAGGCCACCTTTTATCTGATCCCCAAACCTTGGGGAGAGGACTTCTTTCTCTCTTGGAAAATGGGCTCCATTTGCGGCCACTTGCCCTGGCTGAACAAGGCGATGCCAAGCTGTCACTTGCAGCACAGCACAGCCTCATGGAACACAGTTGCCCCTGGAACTTTGCTACTGCTCATGAATGAATGTGTCCATTGTGAAGCAGCCAAGTCTAATTGAACAGAGGAGAACATTGTTAGAAAATGGACTCTCATGGAAGCAAGTGTCAACTCTTTTACAGCAGGCCCTCATGGAACCCAGGAGACCACTGTGATGCAAAGGAATCATGGGGAAAAAAGTTTCAATTTTGAACAGTGTGGGGTCTCATGGAACAAAGATGCCACTTGGAAAATGCCAAGGCATGTGGAAGTCCACGTCCACTGTGACAAAGCACAGCCTCAAGGAACTCAGAAGACCATTGTGACGCAATGGAATCTCATGGATCCAAGGCTCTACTTTGACTAAGTTGGGCCTCATGGGCCACAGGAGCCACTGGGACATCGGCAGGCTTAGTAGAAACAAGGCTCCATTATTGCACAGCAAGGCCTCATGGCACCTGGGAGGCCACTGTGATGCAAAGGAATCTGATGGAAGTAAGTGTCAATTGTGACATAGCAGGGCCTCATGGCACTCATTAGACAACTGTGACACGATGCAATCTCTGGGAACCAAGTGCCAACTGCAAACAGAGTGGGGCCTCATGAGACACAGTTGCAAGTTGGATATTGTCAGGGCAGGTGGAACTCAGTGTCCATTGTGACACAACACAGGCTCATTAATAATAGCAGAGCACAGTGACACCATGGAATCTTTGGGAACCGTGGGTCACTTGTAAACACAGCTGAGCCCCATGGAACCAAGGAGACCACTGTGGTGCAATAAAATACCAAGGAAACAAGGGTTTTATACAGTTATAAACACATCAGTCTCTCATGAAACTAAAGGGAACATTGTGATGCAGTGGAATCTCATGGATTCAAGGCTCTACTTTGAGCAAGACAGGCCTCATGGAACACAGGTGCTACTAGGACATTGCAAGGCCTAGTAGAAACAAGGTTCCATTATTGCACAAAAAGGCCTCATGGCATCTGGGTGGCTACAGTGCCACAAGAGCATCTGATAGAAGTAAGTTTTCATGGAGACACCAAAGGACCTCATGGCACCCTGGAGACCACTGTGACGCCATGTGATCTTGGGGAATGCAGTGTCAACTGCAAACAGGGCGGGGCCTCATGGAACACAGGTGCCACTGGGATATCCCCATTGCTTATGGAAGCAAGTGTCCATTATGACACAGACAGGCTTAATGGAACATAGGAGACCACTGTGACACAAGAAAATCTCAAGATACTAAGGCTCCATTGTGACACAGAGGGCCATCATGGAACCAAGGTAACCACTGTGAGGCAATAGCCTTATGGAACAAAGAGTAAATTGTCAACACAGCAGAGCTTCATGGATCCCTGGTGCCAATGGGACATTTCCAAGACTTGTGCAAGCAAGTGTCCATTGTGACACAGCCAGGCCTAATGGAACACAGAAGAACATTGTTAGACCATGAAATCTCATAGAAGCAAGTGCCAACTCTTTCACAGCAGGGCCTCATGGAACCCAAGAGACCGCTGTGATGCAATCGAGTCTTGGGGAAAAAAGTTTCAATTTTGAACAACACTGGGATTCATGGAACACAGGTTCCATTTGTGTACTGCCAGGGAAGGTGGAACTAGGTGTCCATTGGAACACAGCAGAGACTCATGGAAGTCAGAAGACTATTGTGATGCAATGGAGTCTCAAGGATCTACTTTGATTAAGTGGGACATCATGGGTAATAGGTGTCCCTGAGACATTGCCAGGCCTAGTAGGAACAAGGCTCCATTTTTCAAAGCGTGCCCTCAGGGCATCTAGAAGGCCACTGTGTTGTAAAGGAGTATGATGGAAGCAGGTGTCCATTCTAACGTAGGAACACCTCGTGCCACCCAGGAGACCATGGAGACACAATGCAATCTCTGGGAACCAATTGGCAACTGCAAACTCTAACCCCTAACCTTAACCCTTGCCCTAACCCTCAGCCCTTCTCCATCACCACTGCCCCTCTGTTGTATTGCACTACATAGTTATTTAGTTGTTTGCACTGGGTGTTTGGTAATTTACACTGTTCACATGATTTGTATCCTATGACCACATGGTCTTCCCAACCCCCGCCAAGTGTCAGCATTGGTGGTCTCTTCCTGGGTTACCCCTCCTCTTGCCCTTCCTCACAGGTATCCCATTGGCTGTGGTCCTCTTCCTTTGCCCCCACTCCCCCGGGTTTAAAAACCCCCTAGAGGCAGCTGGCTAGCCTCTTTTTTCCATGTGAGGTTTTCCATCTGATGGTTCTTCTGGGAATAAAGAGAGGAAATTCATTACCACGTGGAGAAGAATGCTTCTTGTCTTTTGCCTTTCTCCATGTAAGATCATGTGGGCTGGGGTCCGTAGCTAGTTGGATTGGACCTGTACAGTCTGTCCAGACATGGATTCTTACATCCCACCATCCCTGTCCTAACACCAGGAAGCACTGCAAGCCATACTGCACTGCAAGTTGGAAGTTGAGGTCTAGGTTGTGCTCAAGAATGCTGGAAAACACCTTTCTGAGAAGAGCTGCCTTCCCAAAATGCAATTTTGCATTCTTTCCCAAAGTTCATTTTTAGCCTGCCACCATCTTGGGAAGGAAATCTTGACTCACATGCCTGTACCACCATCTTGAGTGTACCTGTAGTGACTTCTGGCCATTATTGCCATCTTGAGTGCGGTGTGATGCAATTTCTGGTAAATCCTCACCATCTTGAGAGTAGCACTACGAGTTTGTTCTGCATCCACCATGTTGACTGTTACAGCACGTGACTTCCTGTCATGCTCGCCATCTTGAGAGTAGACTGATGCCAATTCCTGACTCCTCTACCATCTTGAGTACATTATCATCACAGAATCACAGAATCACTAGGTTGAAGAGACCTTTAAGATCATCTAGTCCAACCCATGCCCTAACACCACCTCAACTAAACCACGGCACTCAGTGCCACATCCAATCTTTTTTTAAACGCATCCAGGGATGGTGACTCCACCACCTCCCTGGGCAGACGATTTCAGTTCTTTACCATTCTTTCAGTAAAAAGCTTTTTCCTAACATCCCACCTAAGTTTCCCTTGGCACAGTTTAAGAATGTGTCCTCTCATTCTGTCGGTTGTTGCCTGGAAAAATAGTCTACCCCCCACCTGACGACAACCCTGTTTCAGGTAATTGTAGAGAATGATAAAGTCACCTCTGAGTCTCCTTTCCTCCAGCCTAAACAACCCCAGCTCCCTCAGTGTTTCCTCGCAGGGCTTGTGCTCCAAGCCCTTCAAGTCATGTGACTTCCTGCAGCCAAAGCCCAACAGCACATGGCAAGAGCCCTCTTTCCTCATTTGGCTCACTACAACCCTCCTCAGCCACTGCCACTGCAACTGGATTGCGCACCTGGTGCTCCCAGGCACCACATGTGCGCCAGGGCCAGCAGGAGGCAGCGGTAGGCATGGAAAGCGCCTCAGTGACACTTCGACGAGTCACTCACTGTCCGTGCGAGGATTTCTTAGTTGCAGCACTGCTTTTTAGCTGCAGGTGGCCGCAGTGAGTCGTTTAGGTCATGGCACGTATTCCCATTTCTTAGTTGCAGTACTGCTTTTAGTCTGCAGGTGACACTACTGAGTCACTAAATAGGATACATGCACAGTACCTCGTAGTTATCACCAGGTGGCAGCAGCGAGGTGGCAGCAGCGATTTAAGTCCCAAGATATCAGACTGTTTTGGAGTGACACATAAAATGCTTTTTGCTTGAATAGACAGAGCTATTTTTATTGCCTTCATAGAGATCATATTTTCTCCCATTTTCAAGCCCTTTCTTGTTTAAATTATATATACAAAAGGTACATTTGTATTTTCAAACGCTGTGTATTAAGATAATATGCGTATTTAGAATTTCTTATACTCTTAAGATCCTGCATATAAAACAGTAGATAAAGGGTTGCATTTGGAAATCAATGTTTATAAAAATTTTATATATATATATATATATATATATATGTATAAAACATGAGAAAATTTACCATTTTTAACTACCCTAACCATTACCCCTTACAACTGCACCTAACCCAGCAACTCTGTATCTCAGGAGCAGTTCAGAGGCAAGTCCCAGGAGCCCAAAGCCAGCCAGAGCCATAACTCGTGACAGCTTTCATCTTGTAACAATCCTCCAATGATCCTCCAATGTTCACAATTTTAGGAGGCAGAATCCCACTTTTAGCCCCAGGAGTGTGACTGTGAATGTTAGCTCTTTTCCAGAGGAAGGAAAGCCTCGCAACCCACTGTCTCAGGGACAGTTGAGACACAGCCCCCAGGAGTCCAAGGCCAGCCAAAGCCTGGCAGATTTCATCTGGAAGGAATCCTCTGATATTCACAAGTTTAGGAGGCAGTTTAGGAGGCACTATAATCCATTTTTGGATTATAGTGCCTGATCACAAATTGATGACCCTTTTCCATATGAAGGAAAGCCTGGCAACCCAGTGTCTTGTCGGCAGTTGTGTTCCAACCCAAACCACTCCATGATTCTACAATTGGGAGTGCTTCAAGAAGTCCTGCTGAATGAGTTCAGGGATAGAGGTGCCACTGCAGGCCAGTAACTGCACCATCATCCCAGTGCCTGTGGCTGGGCATGGGTCAAATGGCCTTTTCTAGGTGTGGTGAGAACACCCTGAAAAGAAGTTGATCTTTCCTCCTGAATGTTTGCAGCAGAACACAGAAATGAAGTTGATGCTAACATTAATGCGGGTTTTATTTATCTGGGTCTGCAGCTGTCATGAGCTCCATCCATTTCCGGCTGCTCAGTCTTTTAGTCAGTGCCCAGCTCCCCACACTCTCCTCCCTGATAGTGCCCAGCATCATCCAGAATTCAGGGTCACCATCAAGCACAGTGCAGCCAGATGACTCAATGTGCATGGCACAGGCATAGCCCTGTGAACAGCCTGCTTGGTCATAAACACCCAGGATGTGCACCTGGATCTGCATGCCAGCCCCAGAGCCACAGAAGTGATGGGCACACATTGAGCTGATGGCATGAGCTACTGTTTGTTCTAAAGCTACTTTCTCCACATTACTGTGGGTCCCAGTGACTTTACTGTTGTCATCCACACCAAAAAATAAATATCCACCCTCAGTGTTTGCAAAGGCAGAGACGTATTTAGGAAAGTTTTTTCTGATGTATTACAAGCTACTCTTTGTACTGCATTCCTTAAATTCAATATGTGTTGCCTGTGTGAAACCCAGGACCTCCCCAACCAGCACTTCATCTTTCTTTATAAACCTGGCCACGGTATCTTGGATGCTGTGCTCTTGGATGTTCGGAGGAGTCTCTTTTGCTCCCCCATCAAAACTCAGGTGAGCTCTCTTGGGGGTCAGTCCATTCTCTTTGTGGCACTTGACACAGTTTTTCTTCTTCAGGAATTCAGGAGCTTCTCTGGAAGTCACAGGATAAACCAACGTGCCAGACCTATAAAACAAATCAGTGGTTAAGCTGCAGCGGTACAACTTTGTGGCTGCACCTCCCAGCTCCGGGCCTCCACAGCTCCATGTTTTAACAAAAAGCAGCAGGTTACTCCCCTGCTGCATCCGTGCAAAGTATGGATGAGCCTTTCTTCTGCCAGTGCAATCCCTGAGGCTCGTCTCTATGTCTCCAAAAATGCCATGCTCCCAGAAGAAGTAATTCCTGTCCTCACTCTCCATTCTCAAAATTCCTCCTCCGGAATTCAGCAATGCACACTGCTGCTATGGAAAAGACTTTTTCTGCTTTCTGATTGCTAGACTTCTTCTTTCTGGAACTCTTTCCTAAAAGTGTTTTCCCAATAACTACCAACACATCAGGGTAGTTTGTGGTCAAATTAATCGGCAGCTGCCTCTCTTGGCTGGCAATCATGATCCTGAAATGATATATTATTAAAACCACTTCATGATTATCATAGAATTGTTAGGGTTAGGAAACCTTTCTGAGACCATGGAGTCCAATTGGTCCCACAGCACTGCCAAGACCACCACTAACCCACGTCCCTCCCCTCGTGCCACATTTACACATCTGTTAAATCCCTCCCCAGGTGGTGATTCTATCACTGGCCTGGGCAGCCTGTGCCAGAGCTGGAGAACCCTTTCACTGAAGAAACTTTTCCCTGATGTTCAACCTAAATCTCTCCTGAGAAAACTCAAGACTGTTTCCCCTCATGCCACTCCTTGTTCTGTGGGAGCAGAACCCAACCTCACCTTGCTTGCACCCTCCTGTCAGGGAGTCCTGCAGAGCAAGAAGGTCCCTCTTGAGCCTCCTTTTCTCCAGACTGAGTCTCCCAGGCTCTTCAGCTGCTCCTTATCAAACGTGCTCCAGACCATTCCCTAGCGCTACTACCCTTCACTGGACATGAATAGAAGGGCATACACGCAATATCGGGCTCAAGAAAACTTGGGAAAAAGGAAACATTGGAAAATGAAAATGAAAATTAAAATAATTTATTACAAGGGCAGTCAGGTCTGAGCGGGCTTGGTGCGGAGGCCACGGCGTAACGATGGGAATTGCTTGGGCGCTCTGGCACTACTCTGAAGTCACGTCGAAAGCACATCCCCGCCTCCCGAAGTCGCGGCCGATTTTTCCCGGCCCCCGCGGTACCTGAGGGCGAAGAGCCCCGCCCCGCGGGCAGAGTCCCTGGGGTGGGCGGGGGCGGCTGCGGAGCGGGCAAAGCCCCGAGCCGGGCCACGGTCGGAGGCGCTGCGCAGGGCTGAGGGGCCGTCCCGGGCTCCTCTTCCCTCCCCACCCGCCCCCGGCCGGCCCCGCCGGGCGCCGCCGCCTCGTCTCGGGGCCATCCCCCGCCGCTCCAGACAGCGCCGACGACCGGCAGGGAGGAAAGTGTGGAGAACGGGGACCGGGCGCTGACCGAACTTCCCGGGGAATCGGGCTCCGGGCCGGCTCTGTGGGCGCCGCAGGCGGCGAGTGCCGGCACAGGGCTCCGTTTGGAAGAAACTTCCCTTCCTTTCTCTTCCCACGCGGTCCCTCCCCACTCGGCCGACATCGTGCTCTGCATCTGTATTTCAAAGTTTAATTTTAAAAATATTCTATTCAGTGCTAAAATAACTTTCCACTTCCACGCGCGGCCGCGCCTCCAGCTTCACCAGGCTCGATCACGGACTCGGCGGGACATGCAGTGGCAGCGGGGGGAGAGTTGGGGCTAGGGGGGCAGCGGGTATTGGGGGGCGGCAGAGCCCCAGGGCGGGAGCGCTTCCCGGGAGCTCCAGCACCCTGCTGCTTCCTTTCCCACCTCGGAGATAGCGGGTACCTAGGCCGGGGCAAGGCCCTCCAGCATAGGGCAGCGGCTCCTCCTGCTCTGCAGGCTCCTGGGGGACTGCAAATTCCACTCGGCTGGAGTTGTGCCCCGAGGCAGAGCCGAGGCCAGTCAGGACCTGCCCTCTGGGAGGGGAAAGCGCTCCCCTCTCTCCCAGCATGAATGGCTTAAACTAGCAGCTTATTGCACAGCGTCCCAGTGGGTCCCTGCCGGCGGGGGACCTCACTGCCCCCCACACCCATCATCACCTGCTCCCACAACCGAGTGAACACATCACCCGGAGCAGGTGGAAGGTGCCTCTCCTGTTCCCAGCACCCAGGGGAAGGGCAGGCAGGGGAGCCACAAGCAGGCAAACAGCATCTGCCAAGTGTCCTGGGGACCATGGAGAGCAGGGAGCCCCATGGAGAACCCCCCCCCACATGCAGCCCACCCAGCAGAGAGCCCCAGCTCTAGGGCAGGGAGCAGGGAGAGAGGGAGCCAATAAATAGAGGCAAATTTGCAGGTACTGGCAGCAGCCCCATCCATCGGGCAGGGCAGGATAGGGCAGGGCAGGGCGCACTTGATGCGAGTGGTGGGAGCCCCGACACCGGGGAAGGGGCAGGCTGGAGGGAAGCACTGGTCCTGGGGGGCCAGGTGGCTCTGCAAGGGGCTGGCGAAGGTGCCGGGCCAGGCAGGTTAGCTCTCTGAGGCTGTGTGGCACACAGAGTTCTGGTCAGCACAAAATCTCTTCAGAGGTGGCGCACCAGAGTCCTCATCCTCTTCAGTTACCTGCAAGAGCCAGAGGTCACAGGCAGTGACACTGAGCTATTCACACCTAGACAAGACTGTGTCACACTATGGGGACAGCCCAGGCTGTCACCCATGCACAGGCCCCAGGGCACCAGGAATGGCAACCCACTCCAGCCCTGCAGCCTGCCAGAACTGTCATTTTCCCACATCCCCATATCCTTCCCTCACACTCCAACACTTGATCTGAACCAAGGAATAAAGACTAAAGCTCAGGAAACCAGGAGGTTCTGGGAGCTCCCAGGGGCACTTCGGGACTGCAGAGCAAGTCCATCCACCAAGATGCTTCTGCTACAAGAAGCAGGAACAATGGTCAAAGGGCCAATCTAGGTCCATGCACATTTAAAGATGGTTTGAATCCCCCTTCTCTTACCTGAGTCTCAAGGGGGACTGGCTCTTCCTTTGTGAGAGTGGGAGGCTCATCTGCCACTTCTGAGGAAGGCAGGGAGGGCTCTGGGGAGAACAGGTGCGTCAACAAAAATGCAGACCTCACACCCAGGTCAGTGCTGACCGAGGACAGAACACCTAGCTAAAGAAGTCCCTGATGCCCTGTCAGCTTCCAGCAGTGCCATGGCCACCCACTGAACCACCATGTTCCCTGATCCCACCCATCTGCCTCCTCCCTTCTCAGCCCAGCACCCACCTTCCAGGGTCTCCTGCCCCAGGGTAGGAGGCTGTGAGTCGTCTGTGCGGAAGTCAGATGTGTGGGCAGGACTCATGGACTCACTCTGTTGAGGACTGGGGCTGGAGTTGGGACTGCTGTCCACCTTGAGCTGGTATACATCAGACAGGGAGCTCTGGTTGCTGTTCTCATCTGTAGAAACAGCACCTGATGAAAAAGAGCACCTTGACGCAGGGGCACAGGCAACTCAGGGCGGCACTGGAAGCCGGGGTCTTGCTGAGAAGTCAGAGCACAGTCAGAGAGTTAAACAGGGGATTCACTGTTCCACATCAGCCTAAGGGCTGTCAGGCACAGGACTGAGTCCTCCAGAACACAGCGGGAATCATATACACAACTGGCCATGGGAGAGGGAATGTTCCTGCCCTGGGAATGAGAATGAGCACTGCCAAATCCCACATCTGCAGCGTGGGAGGGCCCTGGGCATCCAAGGGCAGGAATCTCCTGCTGTTGGAGGCAGGAATCTCCTGCTGTGTACCACGGTTTTGTTCCTCCTCTGTGAAGCAACACAAGGAATAATGCTCAGCATCATTGAAGAAGCAGGCCTGGCACACACCTTGCCGAAGTGCAGACCTGCAACATAACCCCACCACATCTCCTGGGAGCGCCCACAAATTTTCCTTAGCCACAGACAGAGCAGGTGCTGGGCAGATGTGTACACTACCTCAGCAGCAAGTCTGGCACTGCTGAAACCTCTCCTGGCTGCACCACAATGCCTAGACCAAGAGCAAGGCCAGGGACAGCCTTTGCCCCTTCACCCTAAGGTCCATGGAAGTAACTTTGGGAAAAGCAAGCTTGGCTGCAGGTGGCTATTGGCCTCTCCCCAGCAGAGCATGGAAAGGGGGGATCAGGAAACCCCACTTCTCCAGTTGGCTGTGAAGCTTCCCACAGAAGATACCAGAAACAGCCCATTAAGACTCTCTAACAGCAAAAATGAACAGTTTGGACAGGGACAATCCAGAAGTGGATCAGCCCAACTCCACAGCTCAACCTCACTGTTCTCCACTCCATGCCAGTGCTCAGGGGCAAGCACTGCTCTTCTCCATATTGGCAGCACACAGAACCAACAATGTCCCAGCTGCTGTACAGCCTTGGAGTCTTTCCCCATGTTGAAGGCAGCTCAGCCCAGACCCACCTTGGAACTCCAGAAGGAGGGAGGAGTTGGCAGAGGTGTCAGCTGGGAAGCCATTGGCTTCTCGGGCCGTGCTGCTACTCGATTTGGATTTCTCTTTCTTGAGGAGAGAAAGAAAAGCACAAACACAATGTCAGAGAAACACATGCTGCTCCAGAGGAGCCATTCCCCTTTCTGTCTCCAGATGCCCAGAGGGATGTGCTCAAGCTGGCCTCTTCCCTTGGCTTTGGGGGCACATTCCTAAGTGAGAGGCAAAACTCCATCTATGAAGGGACTGGGAATCAGGAAAGAGAGGAGGAGCTGATGCCCATCTAGGAATGTCACCAAGTAAAGCAAATCATTGGAGGAGTCAAGCAGAAGCAGGAGGGGTCTCAAGAGAGCTCAGGGGGTTCGATAGTTCAGGGGAGGCTCAGGTTGGCTGAAGGGGCTCTTTGGGGCTGGGGGTTGCCCAAGAATGCTTGACAGGAGCTCACGGGACTTCAGAAGGGTGGGGGTCGGGGGTCGGCTTGGAGAGGGATCAAGGCCTTGGAGGCACTCGGGGGATCTCGATAGGGCAGGAGGGGCTCGGTGCGGCCTCAAAGGTGCTCAGCAGGGCTGGGAGGGCTCAGGTGCTGGCTTGGGGAGGGCTCAGGGGTCGACTTGGAGGGGACACAAGGTGGTTTGGTGGCGTCCGGAAGAACTGGGGGGCTCGGAGGTGGCTCGGGGGGCTTCGGTGGTCGGCAGGGCTGGGGGAGACTCAGAGCTCAGCTTAAGGGGGGTTGTTAAGGGAGCTGTGGGCGGTGGCTCCTGGCCCATGTCCACCAGCGGCACCCACCTCCTTACTGTCCGCCACTGGCACCCACTTGAATATCCGCAGAGACGTGTCGCCCACCGTCACCCACTTCTTCTCCCTGCGGGACACAACGCTGACGGACCGGACCGGGCCTGGGACACCATGGCAACAAACCCCGCCATCCCGCCACGCTCCGGTTGGCCCAGAGGAGCGTCAGCTCAGCACCGCGCAGCACTCCCCCCTGCCCCCCGCACTATGATTGGCTGGGCCAACCGCCCTTCACAGTCGCTTCCCTCCCCGCCACGCTCCCATTGGCCGCCGCCCCTCCGCCCGCACCCGCTGGTTGGGCGCGCACTCTCGAGTCGCACCCCGCGGTGTGCTGATTGGCTGCGCGCGGGTGGCAAGGCCCTCCCCCCCCGCGGGCCCGCCCTCACCATCTGCGGACGCGCTCGATGGCTGCCATCACCTTCTTGATGTCATCTTTGGCGCGGCTGCGGGTCTCGGCCCGCACCGAGCGCCCCGACATGGCGCGCGCAGCCCCGCAGCACCGGCCCCGCCGCACCCGCCGGCGCACCCGGCCCCGCGCACGCGCCCTGCGTGGCCCGCCCGCGCGCTGCGCTTCCTGCGTCACCACGCCCGACACGCCCCGGCTGCTGCGCCTGCGCAGGCATACACGCCCTACAGTGGGCACGGAAACGACGCGCAGGCGAGGCGACGGTGCACCGCCATCTTCCTTTGGGGCAGGTCCTGCCGCACGCTACCGTGAGATCACCCTGAGATCCCGGGCTGGGGGAATGCTGCACCGTTTCCGCACTGCCCCGTTCCCTGAAGCAGAGTCCCCACCGTTTAGCACCAGCATTGAGCTTTGGCAGCTCTCTTAAAAAAAAAAAAAAAACAACCAATCAAAAAACCTACCCCAAATCCACACAACTCCCGTTTCTAAGCTCAGGAGAACTCGTAGGCATTGGCTTAGCAATCGATTTCATGGGATACTGATGATCTAAGCCCGGGGGGAAAACAACACAAGAGTGTGGAGTGTGACACTGGGAGACGCCACTGTCCCCAGCCCTGTCCCGCCCACCACACAGCACACAAGGAAGGACCTGGGCACTCTTTTATTACTGCTGTTCACAGTTACTAAAAAAAAAAAAAAATCCAAAACAAAACATCTCCAAGGCAGAGCACAGTTGCCTCCTGCTTTACAGGTAGCTTAGTGCTTCTTGCCATAGATGGCAGCCAATGCTTTGCGAGCACTGGAGATCTGCTGCTCCAGCCTCTCCTGCGTGGCTTTGTTCCCAGTTTTTTTCAGCATGGCCTCCATCTCCTCCACCACGGCACGGTGCCCGGCAGTGTTGTGGAGGACACGGATAGCGCGGTCCCCACAGGACACGACATAGCGGCCAGTGGTGTCAAACGCAAGGTCTGTGATACAATGGCTGTGCACGCCAAGAAAACGCTCCTCCTCCTCACCGCGCCGTGTGTTGTACACCACAATGTCTGTGCCGCTCGCCACAGCGACCGTGCGGCCATCAGGGGACAGAGCAATGCGGCATGGCTCCAGCACTGTACACTGCCCTGTCAGAAGCAGGTGTGGGTCCTGCTGCTTCTTGTACTCCACATCTGTGTCCCAGAACTTCCATGTGCCATCCTTTGACACGGTCGCCATCCTGCAGCCAAGAGAGCACAGTGAGTGCATGGAAAAAGGGTGGCACCTCTTACCCTGCCCTGTCCATGAACCAGGAATCCTCTGTGGAGGTTATCTCTTGGGAAGTGTGAGTCTACACACAGATACAGTCTCGGTTCTTTTTCCAAATCAAAAAAACCTACCACTAGACCAGGCTGCTCCAACACAGCCTTGAACACTTCCTGGAATGGGGCAGCCACATCTTCTCTGGGCAACCTGTGGCAGGGCCTCACCATCCTCACAACCAAGCCTTCCTTCCTAATATCCCACCTAACCCACTCTCTATCAGTCCGAAACCATTCCCCCTTATCTTGTCACTCCAGGCCCCTGTAAATAATCTCTCTCCCATCTTTCTTGTCAGTTCCCTTCAGGTCCTAGAAAACCACAACTACATAACCTGAAGCCTTCTATTTTCCAGGCTGAGCAATTCCAATTCTCTCAGCCTTTCCTCATACCAGAGCTGCTCCATCCCTCTGATCATGTTGGTGTCTCCACTAGACTCACTCCAGCAGCTCCAAGTTCTTCCTGTGCTGGAGAACTGGAGGCAGTTCTGCAAGTGGGGTTTCACCTGAGAGTGGAGCAGAGGGGCAGAATTCCACTCTCCCTTGTTACCCACGCACTGTGGGATCAACCCAGAGGAGTTTCTGGGCTGGGTCATATCCACTTCTCACTCACAAGCACCCCCAGGCTGCTCTCAGTCTGTTCATCCCCATCTTGGATACCGGGGGTTGCCCTGCTCTGTTTGGGCGGCCAGTCAGGAGTCTGATGGCTCAGCCTGGATGCCGCAACCTTCCCAGAGAGAGATGCCGCAAGAGCCAATTTTCTAGGAGTCTCAGGCAGTCCTTCAACTGCTGGGTAACCTCAGCAAGGGGCAGGCAATTCAGCTCTGAGCAGTGATTTCAGCTCTGCCTTGCTAAGTGTACCCTGGCCAACACAGGGACAAAGAGACAGGAGCATTGTGTGGTTATTCCACAGGGGTAGCCTTTATTCCAGCACCCTGCCAAGGAGGCCGGGGATAGCAGCTCCCCCCTGAATGGGGCAGCAACAGGGGTTTTTATGGGGAAAATTGGGAGTGGTACAAAGGGGAAAAACCAATCAGTCCCAACAAATTTACATGGGCTTCCAAAGCATGCTGGGAACTCACCATGACCAAAGAGGATTTCTCAGTCCAGGAGGGTTTGAGAAGATCTTATCATAACCTATTCAAGGGATACCTCTCCAAGGGAGAGGTTTGGCATGCCTATCTGTCTCCACACTGATCCAGGTGCAGCATCAGCACTTGGTCTTGTTAAACCACATGAGATTCCTATAAGCAGGGTGGCACAAGCCAGATTTGGCTCCCCAGAGCAGTGTTTTACCCCCTGCAGCTCAGTGGTGCAGCTGGTGAACACTGAAAGAGATGAGCTTACATGTCCTTACAGTAACTAAGAGCAAGTAACACACACATACCTCCTTGAGTCGTTGGAGAAGGAAAAGGATTGTACACCAGCAGTGTGGCCCTTCAACTCAAAAGCCCTGGTCACCTCCCTGAAGTCTCCGTTCTTGCTAAAACACACCACCCATACCTTCACATCAGGGGTAAAGCCACAGGATGCCACAAACCTGTGTGAAGGAATAAGCAGACACACAGATTGCCTCTTACAGAGAACCTGAGCGAGGCAGGGCCACAGCTCTGCAAACCTGTTCTGACTCCTGCACTCAAGTCTGGTCATCTTAATTTCAATTTTTCCCTGAAACCTGGCTGGTAAAGGGAACAGTAAGGAAGGACACCAGAACAGCTCAGGAATGAGAAACTCTCCGGTCAAAGTAGAAGAGCTAAATGCTTTTTAGCCCCAACCTCCTCATGCCAGGAGCAAGGCAAATCAACCAACAGCAGCAAGTGATTTCCCCAAAAAACAGATCTCCCAGAAATAAAACCTTTATTTTTATAATTAACCTTTAAGAGGTCAAAGACAAGTTCAAAATGCTGTTTTCTTTGCATAAGCCATTTGCTCTGTCCCACCCCTGCAATCTGAGGCCAAAGCTGTTCTCAGGTTACCAGAACAGTAGCGCTGAGGCAGGATGACAGAACAAGAGTGCCTGACCCCACATCAGCTCCATCTCCTGGGAGGCCAAAATACCTTTTTAAACTGTAGAACCCTCAGAAAGTTGCATTACAATCGCAACTAACTGCCAATGGTCTGAACTGATGTTATCCCTGTTCAAAGGAGCAGCCTGAAATCCTGCCTGTCACTCACCTCCCACAGGGTGACACTGTGGCATAGGCATTGTTCATCTGGTTGGTGTTAATGCTGGCCAGGACTTCGCCCTTTGGGCTCCAGATCAGGATGGTGGTGTCACTGGAAGCTGTCATGATAAACTTCCCTGGGAAAAAAAAAGGCAAAGATCAGGAGAGCCCCCAGACCTAACACTACCACAGACTCAATGAAGCCCCAGGATAACCTCTCCCTGCAGCTGGAGAAAACCAGCAGCAGCACCAAAATCCAGGGAGTATCAGTCTCCTAGGACAGGGTAAAGAGCGGTATCACAAGACTCAGCTCCTGGTTATGCCTCAGTACTCCCCTGGCTCCTGAGCAGGCAGGAGGCACTGAACCCATGTGTGCCCTGTACTCAGAACCCTGAGCCCCACAAGCAGAGCTGGGACCCCCACATGCAGCCCCACTGGGCTGAGCCACAACCAAGAACAAACACTCCATCTGACCTGCATGCCCAAAATCGGCTTGAGGATAAGCACCTTTCAAGCTGTGCACTGCAGGCAGGCAACTGAATCCCAGTCACAACACCATGATCCATGATTGCTGGTTGTGCCCATGCTGGACTGCTGCTTGTTCCCACTTCCCCTTTGCCACCTCAGCCCAGGCAGGGAGTTGCCTGTTTACCTTCCAGGTACTTGGTTTAAGTTTTCGCTTTCAGAGCTCCACTCTCAGTTAACATTTTCCCTGCTCTCCTATTACAGAGGTGAACTCACATCCACCTGCTTCCAATTGCCACTGGCACATACCTGACACATTAATCCATGAAGCCCTCACCACTAAAATGTAATTTCCACCCATCCACCCGCATCTCTGTTCTAGATGATCCCAGAAGTTCAAGATAGACCATATTAACTCACTAGAGAGATTTCTGACTGGTTAAAGAGAGACCGGCAGCCCAGAGAACAGCAATCCTCTCAATATTGAGACCAGACCTCTTTGCAACAGCATCCCTGGAAATGTAAATTAAGAAACTGTGCATATTGGGGAGCTGGTTACAGGGATATTATTGGTGTGAAAACAACACCTTTTGGTTCAGTCGGCAGCAAATTAAGTTAAAAAAAACTAATAGACTACAAAGCTCAGTACTGGTGCTGTCCACAGCCCTGAGAACGCCAAAAACTCTAACACTTTGAATCCAGCAGCTTCACAAGGAAATCAAAGCTGTACTGGAGAGGTGATCAGCGCATTTCCATACCTGTCTCTGCAATCCCTATGTTAATGACAGGAGCCTTGTGCTTTTTTGGGAAGTCCCCAGAAGTCGCAGTGAAGGTGAAGCTGCTGTCATCCTTCTTGGTCATCTTGTAGACACGAATGGTCTCAGCATTGGCCAGCCAGACAATAAAAGCCCTGTGGAGAGAGAGGCTCTGAGCCCCAGCTCAGCCCAGGTCACTCAGGGGCACCTGGGAAGAGGGATATGCTGCCACGTAAAAATATTTACAAGGGCACCCTCTTTTCTCCCTATGTTGGCTCAACTGCAACACTGAATGAAAAAGAATGAAATTTATTATCCATACCAGGAAACAAGATCCCTTCTTTTCTTTCTAAAAGAGACCAAAAAGCCAAAAGATATTCTTCTGCCAGATTTCCCACCCAGCAAGAGCTCCCCTGACCACTGGAGAGACTCAGCAGCACATTCCAGCTGCACTGTCAGCTGGCAGTGATGTCAACAGGTACCTTCCATGGGGGCAGCAAGCTGTGCGCAGAGATATTTGCCCTGAAAACCACATTAACCCACCAGGAGCTGGACTAGACAAACTCCAGAGGTTCCCTCCAACTCAAACTACTGTGATTCTGTGATTAAATGCCAGCTGCTCTCAGAAAAAGCCATAAGTCAATGATATCGTGATGACCCAGTGAGAGATGCTGCCTCCACCCATCCCAGAGCAACACCACTGATCCCACCACAGCTTGGCCGTGAGATTGGCGGCTCTGCAGGACATCCCGGTGCTAGTATAAGGTCCGGCCGTACCGTGAGTCGGGGCTGAGGCAGACGAGCTCGGCGTGGTCCAGCCCCATGTTGACGCGCAGGCAGCGGTGCTCCCGCCCTGCCAGGTCCCGGGTGCTCCACAGCCGCACCGTGCGGTCCTCAGAGCATGATGCCAGGTACTTGCCGTTGCTGCTGAAGTCCAGGCAGGTGACCGGGCTGCTGTGGCCCTGCAGACAGAGAGTTGTCACGAAGGACGCGGGAGGGGATGGGGAGGAGCAGCAGGACACCAGCACCGCGGAGGGGAGAAGAGGGACACCGGCACAGGCAGGACACCAGCATCGAAAGGGACACCTGCACCGAGTCCGGCAGGACAATGGCACGGGGGGGGGGGGGGGGGGGGGGACGGGGCACCGGCGGGACACCAATATCGAGGGGGACACCGATACCGAGGAGCCACTGGCATCAGCACCGGGAAGGCACCGGCCCCGTGCACACGCGGTACCTTGAGGGCAGCCACCAGCAGCCGGTGTGCGAAGCTGTGCTGGTGCGGCTTCTCCCTGCGAGCCCTCGCCGCCGGCTTCGCCTTCCGCGGCTCCTCTGGCCTGGCGTGCCCGTTCGCCCTGGGTTCTGCGGGAGCGGAGGGGTCGGTGGGTACGGTTCAGCTACGCTCCCCTCCGCGCTGCCCGGTGCCCCACTGTCCGCACGGTACTTACCGTCCTGCGGGGCAGTGGGGGTCTCCCGCGGAGCAGAGCGGTGCAGCGCGACCGCCAGCAGCAGGACAAGCATGAGGACGATGAGGGCGCCTGGCAGCACCGACCCGCCCAGCCCTGCCACCGCCTCCATATTCCCGCCGCCGCGTCAGCGGCTGGTACCAGGAGGGGGAGAAATTTCCGTGTGCGCATACGCGGCCCCGGTAATACGCGCAGGGCGGCCCCTGGCGGTGGTACTGCACCCCCCGCCCCGGCCGTCCCCCATTCAGCTAAAGGACACCCCTCACCCCCTCCCCAGTCCCTGTTCTCAGCCCTTGCCTCCCACAAAGCCCCGTAAACCCCCCCCAGACCCTCTTCTAACTCCCCCAGCACCTGAGCACCCCAGCCCGTGCCTTCGACGAAGCCCGGGCTCCTCTCATCCCGGCTTCTACGTCCCCCCCACCCCGGTCCCCGCCCACATGCTCCCCAACCCCGGCTCTCCTCCAGGTCCTGTTCCCCCAGGTCCCGGCCCTCAACCCACCCAGCTCTTACCTTAACCCCGCCCCCTGCCCCCGCCAGCCCCTGCCCGCACTTCCCTTCACCCCCCCCCCCCGCCACAGCCTCTTCCTTCACTTGCCTCCAAGCTTGGTTTCCCTCATTTCCCCCAGCCCCTGGCCCCACTCCCAGTCCCGGATTTCACGGCTTCCGGTGTCACCCCGCTCAGTCCCGGCCCTTCCCGGCCGTGCCCAAAGCGGCGCCGGGGCTGAAGAACCAGGCGGAGTCCGTGGCACAGCAAGTCCTTTATTGCAGGGGGACAGGGCGGAACAGCCCTCGTGCAGTCCCGGCTCCCCACGCCGGTGCCCGTGGGACACCCCGGAACCCCTGGAGCAGTCAGATGGAGGGCGTCCCAGCGCCGCCAGGCCGTCCCAGCGCCGCCACTGCCTGCGCCGCCTGCTCGGGGATACGGGCCGGGTCGCTGAGGATGGAGGTGGAGATGCTCAGCTGCCGCAGGGAGCTCAAGACGGCTGCGGGGATAGGGGACGGGGCTGGAAGGCATGACCCATCCTGGGGAACACGGCGCTGCCCGGCCCTGTTCCAGCCCCCGGAATGGTGGGACTGGTCGCTTCCACAGCCCCAGAAGACGCGGTGGAAGGAAACCCTCCCTGAGAGTGGGTTTGGGGAGGGCTGAGGGGCTTTGGGGAGGGCTGAGCCTGCCCTACCAGGACATGGAGTTGGGACACTTCCGGCTCAGCTGGGGCGTGGGTGTGACAGGAGCGCGGGAAATCACTGAGCAGGAGCCCAAGGACATCCCACAGATCAGCCCTGCCATCCCCCAGGACACCCCTGTCCTTTTCCCCTCTGCCTTTCAAGGATGCCTTTCCTGGACTGAGAAGTCCATGCCAACCCGACTTGCTCATGGTGCCACTGCCAGGCACAGGATCACCTACTTGGCCGAAGCGCTGGGAGGGAGCAGTGCTGGTCCAGCCAAGCGAGTGATGTTTGGGTGAGGCTCTCCATGCTGGCTGTGGACACCATGCCATTGAAAGACTCGAAGAGGGGCCGGATGATGATACTGAACTGGTGGGATCAGAGGAGTTAAGGACCAGTTTTGCTATGACAAGGGTCTCACTCCTCGCAGGTGTGGGCATCACCCTCATATGGCAGTAGGACAGACTTTCTTGTCTGGACATGGAGCAGAACTGCTGGGACAGCAGGACAGGCCATGGAACAGACCTGCTGACTGCCTTCCCAGCACAGCACCTCACCTGGCACTAGCCCAAACTGCTAGGGTGATGGCATAAGTGTCACCTGGGTAAGCAGTGGGAGAGATGCAAAAGCCCTGTCATGGCTGGGGCTACAGAAAAGGTTGCTGAGACAGAAGACATGTCCTCCAGAGCAGGTCAGGGAACAAGCTAGCAGAGTGCTCAAGGGCAAGGAAGGACATCAGTGTGTCCCATAAGCTCCCCTATTGCTTCCAACTTGCAGGGACCAGCCTGCAGATTTTGTGCAGGCAGTAATCCACAGAGATACCTCTATCACAAGCATATCCTAGAGCCCATGTTGGCTTTACGATACTCCGTGTCCTGAGGAAGGAGCTCCCCAGCCCTGCATCAGAAGTCACCTCTGCCTGGTCCAGATGCCCTGTGCTGGATGGGACCATGGGCAGCAGTGCCTTTCATCACTCTGCCACTTGGGATTTCACACCCCTCAAAGGCTCTGTCAGTGAGTCCCAGTGTGTCTAAACTGTGCTCAGAGAGGAACAGATCCAGCTCTTTGCCCACAGGTTCCTTGGCTCTTGATCCTCCCCCCATCCCTGTGCTTCCAGGGTATGGTCTGCAACCACGAAGACCAAGCCATCACGTCCACAGCTTTGTGTCTGGACCTTTCCTAATCCATGGCTGCTACCTCTCAGAGCCAGTTCCCATGTCATCGAGAGCAATTCCCTCCATAAGCTTAGCTCCACTTCCCTTCTCCCTGAGGACCATTTACCAACTGTTTTTGATCCCTTGGAGCAGAATATCCCTCCTAAACACAGAATATCAGCATGTTCCCACCATGCGACTTTGGCTGGGAATCATCTCCCTGTGGTCCCCAAAGCCTCCTGAGCTTGAGGGACCCCGAAGACCCAGTAGCAGAGGATGAACCAGAGCACCTGGTGCCTCCAGTGGAGGGTGAGATGGAGCAGCAGGCACTGGCCCCGAAGGATACAATCCAGAACTTCCAGTTCTGCAATGTGGAGGAGCGAACATACTCGTCAAACATTCTGCGCATGTGGTCAAAGCGCTGCCGTGTGATGGGCACCCCTGTGGCCGGCAGCTGCTCCTGGCACAGGCTGTGGGGCACAACCAGTATTGTGGGGCCATGTTTGGGACTGGGAACTATGGAAACTCAGCAGGAGTTGCCAGCCAATGTCCCCCTCCCAGGACAGGTGTGAGACCTGGCCCTGCCTCTGTCCTGCCTCTTGAGCATCAGCCCTCCCACAGAGAGGGTTTGAGGAGGGACAGTCAGCTGGGAGGTGCTCCAGGGAGACCTGCCATGTCCTGCTGCCATCCTGCCATATCCTGCTGCTTGCCCTGCCTGGCTACCCCAAAGCAGGCAGTGCTCCCCCATCTCCCCCAGCCACGCCCCCCTTACTTGATGGAGCCATTGAGCTCCTCGATCTGCTCCCGCAGACGCTGTGCCTCATCCTGCAGAGCTGCCCGCTCCTGCTGCAGCTTGCAGATATACTCGGCTGTCTTCTGCAGGGTGGTGGCCTTGCTGACCTGGGAGGGCGTGGGGTGAGAGGGGAAGGGGGCCCAGACCACCCTCACACAGCTGCACTGTGTGCCTGCTGTGTGCTCCAGCCTCCTGCACCACAGGCTGGGGTGCAGGAGAGGAGCTCTGAGCTGTGGGTCACAGCAGGGATGCAGTGTCTCTGGGTGATGTGCTGTGTCCCTCCATGCCCAGGGCTGGCCCTGGGTTCTCACCTTGATGCTGGGCTGAGCACTCAGTGTGCTCACCAAGCTGTGCAGTGTGGTGAAGCCAAGCTTGATGTTGAAGCGTCTCTTCTGCTCAGCGGAGATGTGTGTGATGCGGCGGCTCTCCAGCTGCAGGTCAGCGCTGTCAGGCACCTCCCCGCAGCAGGGACAGCCATGGGCCAGCAGCCCCACTGGGAACAGGCTGGCCCAAAGCTTGAAATGAGGGTGGAGGGTGTCGTGGGGGGAGGAGGAAAGGGGGGTGCATATAAAGTTGGCAGCTTCTGCCATACCTTGGTGGACTCAGACCTTCCCGGACGGGACATGGGCTGGTGCAGGGAGATGCTAGTGCCCTGCCTTGCAGTGGGTCCTGGGGAAGCCTGGCTGGGCTTGGGCCAGTCACTGCCTGAAAAAGGGAAGGTGCTGTTCTGAAGAGAGGGATAGCAACAGCACTCATGACAAGGTGACATCTCAGCACCTGGGGCAGGCAGAGAGGGGCATCCCACAGTGCTGCCCCCACCTCAGGACAAGCCACCCCACTCAGTTGATTGGGATGCTCCTCTTCAGCCTCCAAGCACACATTATCCCAAGTCCCTCTCATTTTACAGCTGTTCAGAAATGGGAACATCTGGGATTCGAGGTTTTAAATTCCCAGCATTTCTTGGGGTGGAAATTGCATGGAAAGAGGTGTGAGGGCAGCAAGGTTATGGTGAGCAGCACCAAACTGAACTGGGAACAACACCAGAGCCTGGTTTCCAGCAGCCACACTGGTTATTGTGGGTGAAAGCGGATGCTTCTTGCTCCAAAACCAAGCTCCGGAGTTTCAAAACCACAGTCCGACATTTTGCTCCATTTTTGTCTTTCCCTATTTCTGCTTTTGCTGCTGGAGAAAGAAGCAGGTGAAAGGGCACAGAAGGAAACCTCCATGCTCATCAGATTAAATAGAAATAGCCAGGATTGCAGCCAAAATGAAAATTCCCACAGTGCTTGGTCTGAGCTCTCTGCAGGAGCCCCAGTGCCCTGTGGAGCTCCTTGGGGTGCTCCAGACTCACCACAAGCTGAGGTGGGGGACAGCTGCTCTGCCTTGGTGACTTGCAGGGGGCCCAGCTGTGTGCCTACTGTGTGCAGCAACACTTGAGAAGGGCTGGAGCCAGGAGCCAGTCCTGGGCTCATCTGGGACATTCTGGAGAGGAAGGTGGCAGGGACTTTGGAGACAGTGCTCTGCTGCTGGGAGAAGACAGAGGAAGGGGAGTTGAGGGATCAACACCTCATGCACACCAGGTTGGACTAGGATGTGCAGCCCCTGCCACTATCTGCAGGGGCAGCCACAATGCCCCAGTAAAGGGGCCCTGAAAGTGAGATGTCTCTTACCTCTGCCTTGGTTGTTTTAAAGAAGAAACTTGGGCAACTCCTGCCATCCCCAGCCATGTGCCCCCTCCTTCTCTCCATTTCTGTCCAGCCCACACCAAAATGTGACCCCCAGAACCCATCTCCACCCCTTCCCCAGCAGCCAGGAGAAGGCAATTCCCAACCTGGGGGGTTGTTGAGTGCTTACCTCAGAGACAGGGGTCATGGGCATGAGTCCTGCACCTATTGGGCAAGGGATATCCAGCGCCAGGTCCTGCTTGGCTGAGGGGGCATGAAGCAGATGGGCATTGCTATGTGGGGCTCTTGGGGCTGGGGTGACCTTCCCTGCCCCAGGAGACAGCTAGCCCCTCCCTGCGCCAGAACTGCTGCAGCCCCTTCCCTGCTGGATTGCCCCAGAGAACAGGGATGCACCTCTGGAGGAATCTGTTCTCCTCACAGGAGAGTTCTCAGGAGCTTCAGGCAAGCAGGGAGCTCCAGCCCCTCCTCAAGCAAGCAGAGGGCCATAACTGTGCCCAAGGGACCGTCCCATCACACCCACAGGCAGCATATCAGGCAGGACAGCAGTGAACCCCCCAGCCTGTTGTGCCAACAGGGCCATAAAGACCAGACTAGGGACTCTAGGAACTGCTAGGAACTGCTAGGAACTTCCTAGCAGTGCCTGTTGCCAAGTCCTGGGGCTGGGCGGCATTTCCCCCTGAGGCCACTGAAGCCAGGGCTGATCCCTCAGACATGGCTTCACCCCTGGGTTTGGAACTACCCCAGTATGGGGACTGCCTTGTGCCCTGCCCAGTATTCCCTGTGTCCCAACCCCAGGAAGAAATGGGGTCCCCACTCTGATCCCCACAACAGCATGCCCCCCGCCTCACTCCTGTGTCCCCCAACAGCCACCCAACCCTGTTACCTGTGGTCAGGAGCTGGCTCGGGCAGGGGTTGGGCTCAGGCAGGTGGGACAGGGGGTGTCCTGGCAGCCTCCTTGCCTTGGTGCCACTGGACTTCACTTTGGGCCGCCCACCCTCACCCTGGGGTGGCCCCTTGGCGGGAGTAAACCTGGGGTTGCCCAGCAGGGCAGGGGGCAGGAGCTGGGAGACAGCAGGGCTGGAGTACACCTGGGGCCCCGTGCCTGTGGCATGGCCCAGTCCTGGGACGTAGGGAGCAAAGCAAGGGCTCGAGAGAGGGGAGGCAGGGTGAGTGGCAAGCGAGGGGTCAGGTGAACTGCTGTAGGGGAACTTAGAGCGGGAGGCCGAGGTGGGGGAGAAGGGGCATTCCAGGCTCAGCAGTGGTGCCCGGGAGGATGGGATGGGGGGGACATAGGGGGGTGCTGGTGGCTCCAGGCTGAGGCACTTGCCAGGAAAGTCGTACTGCAGTGTGGGCTTGTGTCGGAGCTGGGGGCTGAGGCTGCTGGGTGCCACGTCGGGGGGTTCGGGGGGCAGGGGGGCGAGGGGCAGCTCAGAGCCCAGGAAGGCACTGTGGAGGCTGCGCTGGGAGGCACCACTGGGCTGCAGAAGACATGGCAGGGTCAGGGTGGATGACTGGTACACCACCAGTAAGCCAAAGGCTGCAGGCTGGGATTTCACTCACCTGGAGGAGGGTACCAGGTAGGAGCGGGGCCTCGGGGCTCACAGGAAGACCCCGAGCACCCATCAGGGACCCTCCACTGCTGAACAGGGGCTCAGCCATGGGCGAGAAGCAGGATGGATCCTGGTAGCCCGGTTGTGTCTGAGATGGGGGTGGCAGGTGGCTGGTGAAGATTTCTGCAGAGCCAAGTAGAGACACAGTGACCGGCATAAGTGGACCTGCCCAGAGAGGATGGGGATGTCCTGGGGCATGATGGGTGGAACCATACGCTGCTACTGGCACTCTGCACTTTTTGGGACCAGGGCAGCTCAAGCACATTTTCACCCATGGCCAACAAGTTCTGTGCTGCCCACTCCAGTGCTGCTGTGCGTGCAGCCTGTGGCTAACCACATCCCATGGCCTTCCTGAAGCCAAACCGCGTGACCCTGCTGCAACTCCCTCTCCCTTCCTCTCTCCTTCCCACAGCCCTGGTCCTTCCGCAGGCCCAGACACCACAGCACAAAGGGTGGGCCCCACACTTTTGGCAGCTGTCTCCCTGGGCACATCAGCCCCATGAATGCCTTGGCTTAGTGCCTGTGTCAATGCTGGCTCTGGCATCGCCACAGGGAGGGTTTATCATGGAGAGGATGACTGTGGGACACAGATGGCATTGCTGGATGCTTCCCTGTAGGATGGAGTAGGAGAGTTCACTAGGTTTGCTGCCCAGCAGCCACTGGCACAGGTGCAGTGCCTGAGCAGCCAATGGGGACAGGCACTTGCACCTCCTCTGGGAAGCACCCAGCTATGCTCTCCAGCCCTTGGCTAGCACTGGCAGTGCCAGCTCCAGGCCCTGCTGCTAGTTCTGCCCACTTGGTGTACACAACCATGCTCAGAGCTGCGATCCAGGCTCCAGCAGCTGGGGTGCCCTGGCTGGGACCCACAAAGGCCTAAGACTCTGCTGAATCTACACCAGAGGAGCAAACACACCAGCACTGTGGGATGGCAGGAGACTGGGCATGGTGATGTTTCCAGCACACCATGTGCTACCATCTGAGGGGAACACTGATGTGAGACAGGACAGAGCCACTGCGAGATGTCCCAGTCAGCTCTCAGAGTGCCCCTTACCCCTGCAACAGCCATGGTGAATGCCTGACAGCATGTCAGGGCCATCCCTGCCCCTCCAAAGGCCAGCGCCTTGTATGTGCTGCAGTGCTGCCAGGCAGGAACTTGGCCTTCCTGGGATGCAGTCCAGCCCCACATTGCTCCCACCTCAGCCATGCTCACACCAGGGTGTCCCTGCTACCAGCGCTGAAGCTCTGCAGGTATTTCTAGGAATTTGTGATGCCCAGCCTGCAGATCCTATTGTGCCTCTCACCATACCTGTCAGACCCTCTTGTGCCTCTCACTGTGCTACAGGGATGGAAGATGCCTGGCAGTCCCTGGGAGCCTTGTCCTCCCTTTCTCCTGCCTCTTCCTCACCCCATAGCTCTTGCCCATGCTCCTTCTCACTGTTGTATCACCCTGTTACACTTGAGGCAGTGTGGCATGGCCAGGGCACAGCCTGCTCAAGGGAGAAGAGCCTGCATGGTCAGCAAACCACAGCTTTGGTATCCTGCTCAAACCTAGGGATGCTCTCCAATGTGATTAGGCCTTTCCAACCCAAAGACCCTTCAGCACTTGTCCCAGGCTTTGGGGAGAGTCCTACAGTCCAGCAGGGCATTGCCACCCCATGGGACGGACAGCCCAGCCCCAGTGCCCAGCACCAATCCTACCTGAAGCACAGTGCCAGCAGGGCACAGGGCTGGGCTGCTCCTTCGCCTCTGCCATGAGGACTTGTCCATCTGCCTCACACCGCACTCCAGCACCCGCCGCAGACACAAGATGCTTCCTCATTTGGGGATTGGTTTGCAGGCACTGACTGACAGGCACTGAGCTCTGCCACACGACCCCACACAATGACAGCCCTGTGACCCCATGGTGCCTACCCCACATGCCTGCCCTGTGTAGCTCTGCATGAGGCTGCTGGATGATCCTTGCTCCAAAGCTGCCTGCCCTGCTGAAAAAGTGACGTTTTGGGACATAATTGGGTTGGCTGGCACCCAGCACCCCAACCTCCTCTCCCCACTCTCCCCACGGTCCCAGGGGTGCATGGCATACACAGTGCTCAGATGTAACACCTTATCACCCAGGGAGCTGCTTCATCCAGGACAAAACTCCCATCAAAAGATCTCCAAGCACCCCAGGGGATGCTGCTCTGTCCCAGAACACACTAAGCCTGGCAGACCAGGAGCCACAGATAGACTGGGGACCCTCCCCAGCCCCAGCAGTGTCCCTGGGCTGAGGCACTGGACATGGTCAGAGCAGGAAGGGATGTTTCCTTGTAATGTGGTCTGCAGTAAGACCCATCCCATTGCCAAGAAGCACCCTAAAGCAAAAGGCCTTTTTCCCAGAAAAAAGCTAACCTAACTGATATATTGGTTCAGAAAGGAACCACCGTGCTCCTGCCATCTCCTGTTGAGCTTGAGACCATGCTGGGCCCTCAGAGAGGTGCTGGAGCTGCTGCTGCGACACCATACAGGCCCTCTCAGGATAAGGAACACTTACCAAGTGTCAATTTAACCCACTTGGAGATGTCACACTTTCTAGGAACTGATGACCACTTGGGGCACCAGGGGCAGAAGGTGAAGCACCAACTATGGCAACAGACACTCTTCCCAGCATGCCTGACTCTGATGGGATCTCTGATTGAAATGAGTTTGAGAGGGTGGTGGCAGGAGTCTTCTCACCTCATCCATCCCAAGAGTATCCATCCCAAGGGCACCCATGCTACCACCTGCCCTGGCACATGGAGTGCCTAGCCTGCTCCCTGCCAGCATCTGGTCTTGCAACACCCCACAGCCATATGGTGCAAGTACCCTTTTTATTTCCTCCTCCAGGAAGTGGAGACAGGCCATGGAGCTCCAGGCTGCTCACACAGGGGTCTGGAGATGCTGGTGCTGCCCAAGGACACTAGCTATAGCTGGGTAGCCAGCAGGCTCCCACCCTGCACGATGTGCATAGGCTACCAGCTCTGACATGTTAGAGGGCAAAGCTGGTCCCCAACAGTGCCTTGCCCTGGCATTTGGGGACACTGCTGTGACCAGGACATGTCCCAGCTGAGCTGGAAACCAGGGCCAGACTTGTCTTTGGTCAGCCTGGCAGGGACAGTGACTTGTCCCCAGGGGATGTAGCACAGCCCTGTGCAGGGTCCTAGCTCCAAGCCAACCACCCAGGCTGGCTGGGCAGTGGGGTGAGGAGGGGACTCAGCAGAACCTACTCTCTAGAGGTTTCCTCCTCCTCTGGGGGACAATTGTCCTTCCTCTATTTGCAGTCAAAATGAGGGCCTTTAGCACTCCTGGAAATAACCTCTTTTTGTAGAAATCCCCTCCCACACCTCATGGCCAAGCCCTTCCTGACCTTCTGTGCCTCTTTCCAGGGTCAGGCAGGCACAACAAGGCTCTGCCTTCAGCCCCTGCCCATCCATGCTGCTTTTTCCATGCCATTAGACGTCCAGTGCTTTCTGCCTGTCTCAGCAATTCCCACTACTGCCAGGCCAAGCCTGTGTCCCTCCATTTTAAGCAGTCACGGTGTGCAGGACTGGGTGGGATGTGGTACTGCATCCAGGCTGCCTCTTACCTGATATGTCCATGTCATCCAGGCTGGGCTGCAGGGGTGCCAAATCCGGCTGTATCATGTCAGCATTCCCAACATACGCTGGAAGAGGGCAGAGCTGGAACATCAAAGCCCAGATACTGCATCCCTAAGACCCACCTTGAGGGCTGCTCCCACCACTGCTCTGATAGCTACCTGGCTTCCACACCTCTGTGTCACCCCAGAATCACCCTGTATCACTGCACCCTGCCCTGGGCAGGGATGTAAGTGCCTACCCTGAGGAGAGCCAGGGCCATCCCATCCCATCTCACCATTGTCCATCAGCCCCTCTAGGGCCTCATCCAGTTCCCAGGAACCCCAGTGAAAGGCTGATTCTTGGCTCAGGACCTGGCTGGAGCTGCAGATGCCCGAGAGACATGGCCAGGTAGGGACAGCAAAGAGTGGCCATGGAAGAAGGACCTGCCCTGGGGGCTGGGGCAAAGTCCTTCATGGTGCTGGTGGTCCCTGGGGAACTCAGCCCTCAGCATGCTGGTGCATAGGGAACCACAGGAGAAGAGGATGATCCCACCCTGCCCAAACACTCCTCAAGCATCCTCTCCCCTGGTGGCTCCTGTTTGGGAAGAACAGGAACATCCCTTCCCCCTGCCCCATCAGGGCAGATGCCTGGGGACCCTGCCTGCTCAAAAGGACGTGGCTGGCAGCTCTCAGGGGCTAAACCAAGACACAACATCTGGATTCCTCCTCCACATCCTGCTGAAGCATGGTCTGCAGCACCTACCATCTTCAGGGAGTGCCTGGTGGGTGCTGGGCATCTGTGTCATGGTGAAGAGGGTGTCAGATATGTCCGAGAGGAAGGTGTCCAAATCGAAATGCTGCCTACTCGTATGCTCTTCCTCCTCATCCCCAAGCAGCATGGGCACTACGTTGCAGAAGAGCTGGTTGCACCATTTCTCTGTAGGCCTCCAGACATCCTCGTCCTACATGAGGTAGAGCAAAGGAGCCGAGTGGACGCCTTTCATGGGTGGGGTCCATGTCTGCTTCCCTGGCTGCTCCCCTGGCAGCTCCCATGCTCCCTGCAGTGTTTGTTCCCTCCAAACCTTAACTCCTGGCTACTTCCAGAGGGTGAATCCAGCATCCCAGATGCTTAGCATCTCATTCCAATGGGCTTGTCATGCCCTGCTTTTCTTTGCCCTTCTGCCCAGTGCAGGGGTCCAAACTGTCCTCCCTTTTCTCCCTCTTCCCACCCTCAGCAGTCTCAGCAGACTCACCCTCTTTGGACTGGAGATCCCTCCCTCCCGTGTGGATTTTCGGAGCTGGAAGGAGAAGAGAGCCTAGGTCATGCCCCAGGCAGGGAGAGCTCAGGGGTCAGCCAGCATCCCCCTCCCATGCTGGCAGAAGCCTGTCATGTCCTGCTCTGTCTGCCATGGCTCCAGGGAGCCATGTTCCATCCATCACACTATTCCATCCCACTGCTGGCACTGCCGCAGGATGGGGAGCAGCATGGCCAGAGCCACTCACCCGCTTCTTATAGTAGATCCTCCATTTGTGGTACTCCCTCATCACCACCTCAATGCGGCGTTTCCAGTAGTTGCCCTCCAGCACAACAGCCTGGGGGGCAGGACAGGGGGTTAAGACTGAGCTCTCTGGCCCCGCACCCCATAGCCAGGGCTGCTTTCCATGTGCCATATCAGAAACACCTTTTCCAGCAAATCTGTGAAATGCAACATGTCCCCACATCCCTGCTGTGCCACACAGACCTTGGTGCTGCCCAAGAGAGCTGCAAGGGATCCTGCCCTACCTCTGGTTTTCGGTGCTCATCAGCCTCCATGCCCTCCAGAGGGGTGATGAAGCCGCACACAGGGTTTTTCCTCCGTTCCACATCTGCACAGGGGAGAATACAGCTGGCTGTATCCATGCCCCATCCCTATCTCCGCACCTGTACACAGTCATTCCAGTGCCAGCCCCATCCCACTGGCACAGCCTGGCATCTGGCAGACAGAGTGGGATCTGGCACCCATACTCACATTGGATGTACCATGCTCTCCAGATCACATTGTTGAGTCGAATTTTATCCCAGCAAAGCAGACGCAGTCCCTTGAAATTCTTCCACTTCGGAGATACTAGCTTCCCACTGAAACACCAAGCAAAGGGGAGGCTGAGGGGCACCACCTTGAAAGATGTACAGGGGCCACCAACCTGGTGGCAGGTCAGGAGCAGGTACAGCCACGTGACTCTGCTGCAGGTACTTGCCAGGCACCTGTGGGAGCACCCACTGGAGCATTCCAAGCTCCTGCACACCCTGGGAGCAGCACTGACCTAAACCCTGAGCTTCACACACCCACAGAAGGCTTCTCAAACCCCTGGATTAAAGCACAGCCCATTGAGGCATTGATTCCTTGATATTTGAACCCCAGCTTTGAGGTGGGATCCTGCTGCCCCTGACCAAGCCAACTGTGTCCTGGCCCTGGGGGACAGGAAGGTAAGTTTCCTGCGCAGGTGAGATGTGTGGTAACATGCACTGTAGTGCCTCTTTCATCATCACAGTGTTTGGACAGGTAATTCTGACCCTTCCTTTAACACCAGGCAAAGCTTGAAAATGCTGCCTTCAGCTGAGGCAATCAAGGGCAGCCCTTACGGAGGGTCTGGGAAGAGAGGATAACACTGGAGGATGTTCAGGATGTTAAGGGACACTTGCCTGTGTTCCAAGACAGACACATAGTGATACCAGCCAGTCAGAGCTGCCCTGGTTCTCCATACCAACTGCTGCAAACCTGCCCCCCCAGCCCGAGCTGAGCTCCCCGATTCCCATTTCCTGGTTCCCAGAGGCAGCTGTGTTTGTTCTGCAGCTCATCGTAGTGGTGGTGGTGATGTCCCTGATGGGACCTGCAGTGCAGGAAGCCTCATTTCACTCCTCGTCTTGTTTCCATCCAGCCAAGGAACACAGCCCCTCATGTGCAGCCACCGAAAAGCTCCTGAGGGTCCTGCTGCCCCAGGAACTCTGTGGGGGAGGCCAGGGTCCCTCTGAGTTACTTTGGGATCCATTTCACATCTCCAGCTCTCCCAACAACATGGCGTGGGCCTCGGGGCAATGCCAGGTGCTCCAGGGGTCACTTTGAGAGCTAGCTGCAGGCTGCCTGGCATTCCTGCCTGAGAAGCCATGTCCCTCTCCAGCAGACAGTTTTTACCCCAAATATCTTGGTGCTGCTTTGACTTCCACTTTTCCTTGGTACATGCTTGGAGCAGGAAAGGTGGAAGCTGAGTTGGTGTCAGGGTGGTGTATATCCCCTGTTTCCAGCCCCTCCAGGTGCCACACGGCTGTGTCCCCAGGAAGGGGAAGGTGCTGGGAATGAGAGTGGTGCATGAAGCCTCTGATTTGTTCATTGAAGCTGGTGAAACCTCTAAATGTTCTCAAATAATGATTTTGGTGGGTTCTGTTTCAACCTTCCTTGAAATCTGCCTCTGGGAGAGGGAGAAGACTGGGGACCCCTACAATTCCAGAGCCTGATGCAGAGATGTGTCTAGGAGCAGGTGCAGGAGTGGATGAGGATGGTCTCCCAAGGGAGACCCAGCCTGACACATGGCCCAGGGGCTGGAGAAGGACCTGTGACTCCAGCCTACAGAGAGTTAAGGCTGACACTGACCACTCTGCTATCACCAGGATTTTGAACTTTCCCCAGGCGCGCATGGCAAACAGCAAGATGGTGCCAAGTGGAGGAGCCAATGGAAGGGACAGGATTCCTGGGCACATGGCCAGATCATGCTGGTCAAGGCCATGTTCCTCACTCACAGCCAGCTGAAAAGAGCAGCCTGAGCCTGTGGGACACACCTTGGCCTCGTGTGAGGCCAGTGGGCCATGACTAGGAGTTGCTGTGGGGCCTGGAGGCAGCAGATGCCTTTGAGCTTTCTCACTAAATGCTTTTTTTCCCCCTTCATGATCCTTTCAGTTTTGGGGCTTAACAGGCTGATCTTTGCTCCCTGCTATGCCTTGAAAAGGACCCCACCCTTCCCTGCAATTAATCTCCCCTGGGGAGATAGATGCAAACTTCCCATTGAACCTGGGAAGGTTATAGGGTGCCCCAAACAGGTTGGGGGTCCTGCTGCCTACACTATCAGAAGGAGGGGGACACAGACCCTGCCACTGGCTACAGGGTGTTTGTGGAATAGGGTGAGGTGGCAACAGGGCTCAGCCTGGGTCAAACACTGGCATGGATCCAGCAGTACCTTGTTTGGTCTGTGACTCATTTACCCATCCAGCAGTTTCAGGGAATGGGGAAAGGGGAAACCTTGGGGAATGACAGAAGAAAGTGCAACTCCCTGCCACAAATGACAGCAGAGCCACAATGCAGCGTGGGTGTGTTTAGCCCAAGCACGAGCCTTTCCCACTCATTAGACCCTCTAGACTGGAGGTCTTCTGCAAGAAAAAATAGGGTTGAATGATGAACTCCAGTGAGTGCATTCCTGGAGTCTCTGCCTGGTGTTCACTACCCCTGTGTGAGCATTTAAGGCACTGTGAATTAAAGAATCAATAGCAGCAGTTCCACTTCTCCCAGGGTGCACGCAGGCTGACAAGAGGATGAATTAGTAGGGGACTGGCCCCCCAAAGACCTTGTTTTAAATCACAAGAAAGGCTGAGTGTATACTCCAAGAAACTTCCCAGTCTGCTGTCCCTTTCTTGTCAAATCTCTCTGGAGCACAAGACAGATGTTGCCAGGTAAGACCACAAATGACTGCAGTTCACATCTCCCAATCTGCCCCCAGTTTTCCTTCCTTCGGGAGGATGTTCCCCAGGTCAGTGATTCCCAACAGTAAGGCACAAGAGGGAATGTGAGCCCAGCCATGACACTGTGCAGGCCACGCTGTGGTGATAGAGAGGATGAGCCTTCTTGTGCTAAGGCGAAAATGTCAGCAGTTTCTGAAGGAGCTCAGCTCCACCCTCAGCTTTTTGGGTAATGAGATGCAGCCAGGTGGGCTGTAGAGAGAAACAACATTCTAGGGAAGGATTCAACAAATGCAGGATGTTGCAGGAGAATGAGTGGGAAAGTATCATTACACAGGAAGCTGCTCTAAATGTCCTGGAATACAGGTAAAAAGGAACTGCTTCATCCTAGCCTTAGGAGGAAGACCTCAGAGAGGGGAGTTGCCTCCCTTTGGGGGATCTGAAGAAACAAATCAAAATGTGGGAAGCAAACCTTGATGTGGAGAGAGCAGTTCTTTACCAGTGAGGAGTGATGCACAGTCCTGCCCGTGGAAGGAAGATAAGTCATATCCCCAGAATTATTGCTTAGGCTGAGACAGGACTGCTATAATGTCTGTGAAATGCAGAGGAGGAATGCTGGAGAGGGGAAGAACTCCAGATGTAACCATTGAAAAATATTTAGGGAAAGTTTAGTGAGTTACCTTTGAAATGGTGCGAGCCCAGACAGCAAAGGATGGGTGGCTGTAGCAGTCACAGCTCATGAGGGGACAGGGTAGTTTTCCCCTCTGCTCCACACTGCTATGGCAAAGTCTGGACATTGTGTCCAATGGACAAGAGAAGGAGGTTTACAAACTGGAGTGGTCCTGGAGGAGGATATCAAGTACATTGGGGACTAATATATGTGACAGAAGAGGACTGTCAAGGATGGGTTTGTTCAGCCTAAAGAAGGTGAAGAGAGAATTACTGCCATCAGCTGCCCTAAGGAGGAGACAGAGCCAGACAGTTCTCAAACATGCACTGAGAAAGGCCAAGGGGAAACAGACATAAGAATTGGAACAGGTAAACTCCAAACTAGAGCCATGGACAGCAATGCCCTGTGGGAGAGGGGCAACCCTGAGTAGGCTGGACGGGTGCTGGGGTCACATCGTAGGGCTCCATCTGTCAAAGTGATGGCCCTGAGCAACCTGACCTGGCTTTGGATCTAGCCCTGCCCTGCATGAGGGTTGTATGAGGAACTCCACAGGAGCCTTCCAGGTGACAGCTTACAGTGGTTTCTCCTTGGTTAGGAAGTTAGTCTGAGCTTAACTGTGGGTGCTCTCCTGAGGGCTGGAGGATATTGGGCTGGTGACCCCAACTGAGGCTGTGCTGCCTCTGGGAACCTGGCTGGGAGGGGAAGTGTGAAATGGCAGGTGATGCAGAGAAGTGTCAAATCAGTCAATACTAAATGTAGAAATGCACCAGAAACACTTAACTCTATTTTCTCACCCTGATACCTTTCTCCAACTTCTGCCTACAAGTGTGTCAAAAATGTATTAGCAAAAGAAAGGCAAAGTGAGCTGGGTTGTCCAGCCTGGAGAAGAGACGGCCCCGGGGAGACCTTAGAGCTCCTCCAGTGCTTAAAGAGGATCCAAGAGAGCTGGAGAAGGATTTTGATCAAGGGCCTAGAGTGACAGGACAAGGGGGACTGATTTCACAGTGTCCGAGGACAGGGCTAGATGGGATATTGGCAAGAAATTCTTCCCTGTGAGGGTGGTGAGGTACCCGGACAGGCTGCCCAGAGAAGCTGTGGCTGTCCCATCCCTGGACAAGGTTTAGGTGAGTGTCCCATTACATAGGAGCCAGTATCTGCACTGCCATGTTCACTGCAGGAAGGAAATGTACCACTGAGAGTCCAGGGAGTAAAGAGAACTGGAGCAATGGAACCCTGACTGTAGTGGAATGGCCAGCCCCCAGTCACACATAGTACTCCAAGTGTCAAAGCCCTTGTATCCTGTCCATTTCCACTCTGCCTGGGAGCTCCAGAGCCCAGGGCCACACTGAAGCTGCCTTGCACTTCATGAGTCTACAGTTTGAGCACCCTGGTGTGACAGTATCTGCTTCTCCAGCCTCAAAGCTGCAGGGCTCAGGTATGGAAAAAATGGGGCTGGGAGAGGAAAAGACAGCAAGGCCACCAGTGTCTCTATGACCCCTGTTTGTGGCACTCAGGGTGACCTGCCCAACCAGGAAGCATGATCCTTACCTGGGTCACCCCATGCTGAGGCTCCCTGTGCTCCCAGAGAGCACTGCCTTCCCCAGCCCCTTGGAGCACAGCTGTGCTGTGCTGGCTGCTGGCAAACTGGGATGATCCCATCCACCACCTAGGATATGGTGATGGGTCAGAAGTACACAGCTATGTGGGAACTGGAGTGCTGTCTCTCTGCCCAGCATCCCCAAGGATGTCCTGGCAGTGACCACATTCCCTATTGCATTGAGCATTCAAGGACTCTAAGACAAACCTGAGAGCTCAGCCATACTGGATGAGGTAATGGACACCTCTTCAAGGCTGCTTTGCTGAGGTTTTGCTTTCACATGGTAGAACATCATCATCATTTGGACATTTTGGGAGAGCTATACATGCAGTTTGGCACTGACTCCAGCAGAGCAACATCAACATCATCAACATTTAGACATTTTGGGAGAGTTATACACGCAGTTTTGCACTGATTCCAGCAGAGCAAATCATGTTGATGCCATGCTGGAGAGAACTCAAAACCTTGGGGCTTGGCAAAGGAAGGGAGCTGCCTCCAAGAATGTGGACTGTGGCCATAGAAGGCACATTGCAGTCTGTCCTGTTGTCACCAAAGAGCTGTCACTGGGCCTTGGCAATTTGTCAGGCAGAGGAACAATGCAGGCACCCATCTGATTTTTCAGGAGAGAAGGAGGAAAGCTTTCAGGAGACCTTGGACGAAACCCATGCAGCCATCCAGTCCCAAGTGCTACTGCATGTCATGGAATAACCTCAGGACATGGGGACAGAGTAAAGGACGGAAGGCAGGACTCCTGCTCTGGGCTGGGTTGCCAAAGAACTGAGTGTTAGCTGTCCACAGGGTCACTGCTGCTCTACACAGTGTGCTAGGTCTGGCCCAGGAGGAAATACAGCTGGGCACAGTGACACCAGATCTCATGGGAAAATGGAGGAGAGTCAAGCTACACGTGGAACAGAGAAGCTTCTCACCTGGCTCCACAGCCAACAACCCGGCATCAGCTCTTTCTCCCTGAAACTTCCCAGGATGGCAATTTCTGAGCATATGACACATCACAGCCCATGGAGAAGAGGAGGTCAGATGGAAACAAATTCCTGGCTGGGGGATAGGGCTCATCTAGCCTCCTGCCTTCAGCTAGCTGGGGGTCCATAAGACACACACAAGGGCTCTGGGACTCACCTGTACTCCAGGCTCATGCACTCAAAGAGCCGGGTGAGGGTCGGGTCAATACTCCGGGGATCAGCCAGCTCGGGCTCAGCACGGTGGTGCCGTCGCCGGGGCAGTGAGTCGCTGTGCGGGCACGACACCATGAAGTGGCCACTGTGGATGACCTGGGAGTAGTTCTGTGTCGCAGCACTGGGTCCTGTGCCACCCACAGCTGCATCCTCTGAGTCAGAGTCAGAGTCGGAGACAGGGCAAGGCCCAACCGGAGGCTCCAGGAAAGGTCCCGGCAGTCCCACCTGAGTTCCTGCCATTCCTGCTGCCTACTGGGGGACCCTTATGGATCTGACCCAGCACTGTGATCTGTGCCCCAGTTAGCTGAAGCCCTACAGACACGGCATTGGCATCGAGCACATGCTGGACTCCCCAGTACAGAACACTGGCACCACGCCTCCTCCTAGGCACCTCCTCCAGCCAGCCCACGCCACCGTCTGTTCCTTGCTCTAGGGTTCAGCCGTTGGTTCCCCAGGGCAGATTCACTGCCAGCGCTATTTATAGTGCTGGTGGCTGATCCCGCCCATGGCAGACCATCAGCAGGACACGTCCAATGGCCACCAAGCACCAGAGCTTCAGCTCCATGCCACCATCCTGCTCTAGCAGTGTCCTGACAACCCCAGCTTTTACATCCCCCACACACCTGGGGAGGAGCGTCCCCTGTCCCCCCTTGCTGTGGCCAAGGGTTGGCTGGCAGTCGGCTCTGTTTACCTGGAGTTAATCACTGATCCGAGGTGCTGGTGGAGTGAAGTGCAGGCAGTATTTACCCAGTGCCTCTGCTTTAATGGATCTCCCTGCACTTTCAAGGGAACAAATACAGATTAAGGGACACAAACAAGTAAAATTATAGCAACGGGCACTCAGCTCAGCGCAATGCCAAGGCACTGAGCCAAGTGCCGAGCTAAGAAACAGCTCAGGGAAGCCTGCGCAAAGCAGTGATCCAGCAGGAGAGGGGATACAAAGAACAAATATGAGAGAGAACAGATATGAGTTTGGGTATGTGGGATTTACACACCTTGTTGTTATGTAGTCCTTAAAATGAAAGAATCATCAAATCCTAGAGTGATTTGTGTTGGAAGGGACCTTAAAACTCATTTCATTACACTCCCCTTCCACTAGACCAGGGACACCTTCCACAAGAACAAGTTGCTCAACGCCCTGTCCAACCTGGCCCAGAGTACTTCCAGGGATGAGGCAGCCACAGCTTTTCTGAGCAGCTTGTGCTTGGACCTCACCACCCTCCCAGGAAATTTTTTTTTCCTAATATCCACTCTAAATCCACCCTGGGTTGCCTTCACCTCTGAGGTTTCCTGAGAGATTTGGGCAGGCAGGGTTTGATGCACCAATCCCTGCTCCATGACAGTGGATCTTGGACAAATACAGGATGTGGAATGTGCCATCCCAGCTAGACCTGTGTCGCAAGCATCTGCTCACTGACCTGAGCCACTGAAGGACACAGTACATATAATTTCACACTTAAAACATTTCTTTTCTTTCTAATTTCTGGCAACTTCTTTCCCAGCCCCACAGCCTGGAAGGAGCACACATGCCTGGAAAGCACTCAGGAAAGCACTCAGGCCGAGATCTTAGGTACCTCTGATGGAGATACAGTATAAACTCAGAATAGACGGCTGCAGACATTGGAACCCTAATCCAGTTTGTAGATGGAGCTGAATACTTTTCATATCACCCAGGTGAGACCAAGAAGGGCCAGCAGCTATCCAGGGTATTTTCCAGATCTGGAAGAAGAATATGCACAAGAAGGTGGTTTGGACAGTTTCTACACTGGTTGGTGCAAACCTCCCTTTCACACCATTTCTTCACTTAAGAACCACGTCTTCATTTTCTAGACAGATTTCTGTGGGTCTGCAGCTTTGTTTTCTCCTCTGTGATCCATTACAACCACCTCAGCCTGTCCCAAGCTGCCTGTCAAGGTGTTGAAGAGAGAAGTAATTTTAAAACTACTGTCTGTATGTATTTTGAAGTAGTAACGGGCATGTGAGTGACCTAGGAAACAAAGAATTAGGCAAGGCACAAAGAAACAAAGATGTCAAAGATACAGATACTTTCTGGGCACATTCCACTCATGCTGTGCAAAAGAGACTTCCCAGGATTTTGACCAAAACCATTTGCCATCTGTTCACCAGTCCCAGACAGACTTCAGTCCTCTGAGATAACATTTGTTTAAGGGAAACAGAGAAGTGCATCAGTGAGGCTTTTATGAACATCACAACTCCCTCATTCCTGGTCCAGCAGATCTCATGCTGCAGAGAAGGAAAATCCCACAGGCAAAGGGCATCCAGCCTGGAGGAGGGAGTGACAGATCCTTAGTCAACCAGGGAGCAGAGCAGGAGTCCTACACAGGGGCAGGTAGGTTGCAGAGCTGAGGAATTTTGTAAAAGACTGTTTGGGTCCTCAGATGTGTGATGCCGTTGGAAATGAGAGTCAACGTTAAGGGTAAAGTGAAGCACATCCCTCACGGTACACTAGGGGACTCTAGATTAACGCTAGTCAAGAGCTAAAGGTAACTGTAAGCAGTTCCCTGTAAACATCAGCTGAAGGTTCATGAGTAAATTAAAAAGAAAAAAAGGCTCCAGATATTGCAAGGAAAATATTGCTTGCCCCCGTATAAAGCAAGCTCACAAGTGTGTGTGGCTCTGGTGCCTGGCTCAGAAAAGATGGAAAAACACTGGAAAAGGTCACAGAGATGAAGAAAATGGTAGGTCAGAAGTGGGAATGGCATCCTTGCAAGAAAAGGGATCAGGACTGTTAGGAAAAAGGTGAATGAGGTGACAGGCACTGACAGTGTAGACATGGATGCAGTAGGAACAGGGAATGGTTGGAGATGGTTATTCAGCACATTTCAGAGCTGGAGGTTGGAGTGGATGATCTCCAGAGGTCCCTTTGAACCCTGAATATTCTGTGATTCTGTGTTTCTAGGGGCACCAGGCAAAGGAAGGGCTGGCATGTTCATCTCAGTATGTTGTGAAACCAAAAGTCCAATCAGGAATTGAGTAAACTGATGGAGGACTGGAACCATTAAAAATTTTTGTGTGCCCAAAGCAAAGCTGACTAATGGGAACTCAGAGCTTGTAGCACCCTGGTCTAGTGGAAGGTGTTCCTGCCCATGGCAGAGAGATGGAACCAGATGAGCTTTAAGATCCCAAACCATTCTGTGAGTCCATGATTCGATATCTATGCAATGAGGTTCTTGGTGATTTTTTCCATGGATGGCCTCTCTCCCTGTGTGAATAGCTAGTGCTGACAGGATCTTAACACTCCATGTAGTGGCAGGACACAGTAAGGAACATAGAAAAGAAAATTGCAGCCTGCAGCCAGACTCCTCATAGAATATTTCTGGGCTCTCCTTGTCTGCCAGATTTCCCTCAGGAAGCTGCCTGGCAAACCCTGGGCAAGAGCACCCTCTGGAGACCAACAGAAATGTAATGGTGATATTACACTTCTCAAATCCCTTCTTTTCACATTGACATTGCATTTTAATTGGGTTTCATGATGGTGATGCATGCCAGGTTGTTTGCCCAGAAAGTGGAGCCTGCTGGAGAGGGCTGGCTCACTACATCCCATCTCTGTTACTGTGGGACAAGCTGAACCTCCCTGGAGAGAGCAAGACAGGCCTGAGGATGCACAGCAACCTTGGAGCTTCTAGGAAAAGTGAGGTATCACCTCAAAAAATCATGGAGTGGTTTGGGTTGGAAGGGACTTAAACATATTTCATTCCAACCTTACTGCCATGGCCAGGAACCCCGTCCACTAGACCAGGTTGCTGCAAGCCCAGTCCAAACTGGCCTGGAACACTTCCAGGGAGGGGCAACTTCTCTGGGCAACCTGTGCCAGGGCCTCACCATGCTCACAGGAAAGACTTTCTTCTCAATATTCCATCTAACCCTGCACTCTGGCAGTGGGAAGCCATTCCCCCTTGTCCTGTTACTCCAGAGTCTTGTCCAAAGTTCCTCTCCATCTCTCCTGGAGCCCCTTCAGGCACTGGAAGGGGCTCTAAGTTCTCTTTCCCAGTCTGGACACCCCCAGCATGCCCAGCCTCTCTCCACAGTAGAGGGGCTCCAGCCCTTGGAGCATCTCAGTGGCCACCTCTGGACTGGCTTCAACAGCTTCACATCTTTCCTGTGCTAAAGACCCCAGAGGTGGAGGCAGCCCTGCAGATCGGGTCTCACAAGGGCAGATGGGGACAGTGTCTTCCAGACAAATGTCACACTGGTTAAAGATAATGAGGGGACATGGTGCAAAAGAGACTTTTCTGCATCTTGCTAAGGAGACTCACTATGAGGATGGAATATCCAATGGAATTGTCTTTCCTGTCATGGAATGGAATATGATGCTGGGAGCCCACCACAGGTAGGGACACTGCCCCTGAGCTGCCTCTCACCCTACCTGCATGTATAGTGAGTGTCCAGCCTGGGAGGGGAAGGCATTAGCAGAGAGTTCCTTTAATCATACATCTCAATGTGTATCTCAAGGCAAGAGAGTTAGCCAAGAAAAAAACCAAAAAGATTTCTAAATGCAACAAGAAATTCCCAAGTTTGACAGCCAAGAACATTTTATGTAAGTTATTGTCTCCTACACTGCGTTTAGTCTCCTTTCTGAGCTGGCAGATGCCTACTCCCACCTGTCACACACCTCATGACTCACTGCAGAGGAGCAGGAGGCAGTAGGAGACAGGGAGAGAAATCCCACATTTCAAGGTAGACACGCAGTTAAAATGACAGCGTAAAAAATCACACACAAGCATGACAAAGTAATAGAAGATTTGTTATTGATGACTTTTATTTTCTAGCTCATGTCTCTATATTGATTAGGAAACAGCTCTCATCTCCCTGAGCCAAAGGCACTCCAGGACTCATATGCCCACTGGAGGCAACTTTAGTACATAAATACCATGGAGGCCGGAAGCTGGAAAGGGTGGCATCTGCTGAAGGGTTCTGCCCTCAAAGATGAGGATGTATCATAGAATCATGGGGGTTGGAAAAGCCCTCTACATCAAGCCCAACTGTTCTACCAGCACTGATTCTGGAAATCATCATGGCTCAGGGAAAACCTGAACTGCAGCAGTAGAAACCCTCTAATGCATTAACCTCTTTGAGAACTTCAAAGGTCTGAAATAAACTTTCACAATTCAGACAGTTCTTTGAATACAAATTTATTTGACTAATTAACATCTATTAAACTTACATGCAGGAGGTTCGGAGTGGGAAGTTGTCTGTGCACTTTAGTATCTTGAGCAAGA